TTTTGTTATAACTATTAAACTGCACAAGCTAGAGGCTAGAAAAGGTTAAAAAAGGGGGGGTACCTAGCGAGCATACCCATTGATAGGTATACTTTGCTAGGTAGTGTTAATAACTTAGCTAATACTAGGCAGAATAAGCTAATTCTTTTTTTATAAGAAGGCGCAATACTAGGCGCTTCTATCGAATAATAGATTATGTAAGCGTATCTCTGCTAGTTAAGAAGCTATAAGCCAAAACGTAAAAAAGCATACCCTACCCATCCGCCAGCCTAGGCAAGATAATCTGCTTTGCGTGTAAGACAGTCTTGCCTTAATAGCTCTCTGCAATCTCTCTGCGTAGTCTCTTTAGTGCATTATAGTAGTTGCGTAGATGCGCGTCTAGATTTTGTACTGTGGTAGTATGCTGCTTGCAGACAATAACAGCATGCGCAGCTAGATAGTAGATTGCATCCTTAATTGCGTTGTGTGACTGTGCTGCTTAATACATAGGTGTACTATCTGTAGTTGTTGTTTAGCTAGCTTGCGCAGTAGATAGCTGTGTAGGCTAGCAGAACTCTATCTCTTAAACCCTAACCCTAACCCTAAGCTCTAGCAATAGGGGCTTAGACAATGCTGCAATTAGTGCAGAACGTAGCTGCAGCACTGTAAAGATAACTCTTAATATTAGTTTAATAAAAATAAATATTGTTATTTGTAAATTAGCTAAACAAATTGGTGGTGAGGACCTGCTGTTTGGAGCGGAAAAACACTTGCGCTAAGCCCGTTCCGGAGACGAATCGCCCCCGCGGTCGCGTGTCATCTCGGGTAGGCCGTACGCTCGCTGCTGCTGCTGCTGCTGCTGCTGTCGCTGCTGTTGCTGTTCATGAGCTCCCACAGCCTGGTGGCAGCCAGCTTCTGCTTGCCGTGCCAGGGGAAGAGGCGGGCAATGGCTCCCAGCGTGCTCACCTCCCCCTCTGCCTCAGCTGCCTCGGCCGCCACCGTACGGAGGCAGTAGCAGATGAGCCGGGCCCACAGCCTAGCTGCCCGAAGCTGGCTGCTTGGGTTCTGCATGCAGCTGAAGGGCGGCACGTTGATCTCCTGGGCCTGGGCGCTGCGCAGCCAGCGTAGCGTCTCCAGGGAGAGGGTGCTGAGCCCCTGTACGGCGTCCTCCACCAGCTCCTCCACCAGCTGCACGGCGCGCTGCAGCTGTGGCTCCTCCTTGCCCGGCATCCGGATCGCGTACGCGAGCAGGCGCCAGCTAGGGTAGGCCTGCAGGTGCTCGTCCCACTGCGTGCGCTTGAACCAGCCCGTACGGTCCTTCGCGGAGGCCTCCTCAGCCATGTGCTCCATAGCCTTGCT